AGAAGGAAGACCACAACAAATTCCAGTAGTCATATAAATAATTTGTCAGAGGGATCTTTCTGTCAGAAGGAAACTATCATGTATATGATCATCACTGGAGTGAACCAAATCACCAGATCTACAAGTATTTAGAAACAGTGGTGATTTTAACTGCTGGAGGGAGGAACTAATCTATCACAGAACACAAGCTGTATACACTGGAGGAGTGACTTGGTTCATTAATGCAATAGCTTCATTAAAGAAAAGGTTCTTTTCAAACACCACAACAGTTGCTTTGGAAAGCTGAACAGAATTTTGTTTCACTCAAATCATTGTAAAAAACAATGCATCACACGTGTGATAAAATACTACCATAGTTCTTAATCACACAGAGTCAAATGCAGCTACAGTCTAACAACTCACTTGTCAAATGTAAGGCAAAAGAGGACATATCAGTCTTCAGTCCACCTCCAGCTTCTTGGCAAAGAAACACATGAATTCAGCACATTTCTACTACACATTAAGCTCACTGGATACTTTGGGATTTTTTTATTGTCCCTGACTCACACAATGTAGCTCACCAATTTCCAACAGAAAATGCCTATGCTTACAAAGGAGAATCAGAGAATAAATGAATTGCCACTATCCTTCAGAATCACTAACACCATCTTATGTATCACAGCCCCTACTGCCTTCTGGGCAGAAAAACAACCTCTACACAGCAGCTCTATAATTAAATTGTTTCAGACCAAAGACCTCCAGATAAGCTGCTCTCCTGCAATCTAAGCAGGTCTCTTGCAAAGTCACAACAGAAACTATCTAAAAGAGAGGCCCCTTCCAGCTGACTCTCAAAACGTTTTAACATCTTACAGCAGGACAGAAGAAAAAAAATAAATCTGAATTTGGCCAACTAGTGTACTGAAATTAGACCGATTATTACACAGGAGTGCTAAATATAATGCAATTAAATTTGTTAATAATAAGCAGGTGTCACTCATTTTGAAGTACTATTCACATGATGAAGATGAAATTGTTTTCACATTTTCCTCAAAAACACCATTCATTTCATTATAGAAACATCAGAAACTAGCACACTTTCCAAGACAGACTTATTTGTAAGTACAAATAAACAGTTATTATCTTAAAATGCAATATATGAAATGTTCTCTGCTGAACTCAACAAATATGACTACTTAGATAATCAAGGTCAAAAAGTAAGTTCTTCTTTTAAGACATTTATTTTGTGATACTTGAAATGAAAAAATATGGAATATAAATTAAGTGGCAGCTTCAAAGTCCCTCTTCCATGATTTCCAGAGATAACTGAAATCTGGTACATCTCTTTCATTTTGGCCACCACAGAGTTAATTGTTGCTGTAAGCACAAGAAATGCTGCTCTGTTGGATGAATGCCAGCACATAAAAATGCGAATCCACACTGATGGATCAAGCAATTCCAACTGCACTACTTTTTGCTAGTACATTTTTATGGCAAAACATGCTTGTATTCATGAAGGCTAGAAACTGGCATACCACTGTTAATCACCACAAATATTACTGCTATAGAAGTAATGCCTGTTTATAATATACAAATATTTTTATGGAACTAGATCAAAAGCAATGTGATTGCAAAGATATTTGCAATCTATATCCCAGATAGTATTTTCTGAGATTCACATAAATGGCCCAAGACTTGATAATTCATGTCTTTAATTTTAACACAATATTACTGGCAGTATCAAAAAAAAAAAAAAAAAGAATTGTAAGACAAATTAGGCAAAGATTTACCACTATTTTCAAATCACATTAAAACAGAAATTTCAATTTGACTTTACAAAATACACACTTCAGCATCTCAGAGAACCATCTGGAGAGAAAGTTTTGGGATTCCATGAAAACAACAGGAGATGAAGATTGCCAATGGAATTTAACATACACCTTTTTGTACTTTTAGTGGCAGGCAACATCATGTAATGCTCTTAGAGAACAATGCATGGCCGTTGACATATGTATATACTTTATATACATGTATATCTATTTTATACCTCACTGTGCAATTAGTGCCATTCCAGAACCAGAGCTTACATATCCTTAAACCTGACCTGGGACTGTTAATTTCAGTTGAACTCTATTGTGTCTGTATTTGCTCTAGCACCTAATGCTGGTGGAATATACAATTGTTATCACTCACAAGCAGCAAACTGGTTACTCTGTAGCAAATGCTCCTCGGCATGTTCTTACCCCACCATCAGTGAAAGGTGGCTTAACCCCAAGTAGAAGCAGCAAGATTCTTGAATTTACTGCGGATGAAAGGCTGTTCCCCAGCTCTTACTGAGGAGTACCTGACACCCTGCAAACTCCTATTCAGCCATCTGTCTGTGCATCCACACCTTCAGTATTTGCCATTTGGCTGCGCCAGACTTCACAGACCAGAAAGCAATATGGATTGGTGCAAGCCCTCCCCATAACCTTCTTTGGCAACAGCCTTTACATTCTGTATTCTTGGTACAAAAAACTTAATCATTATGCCAATATGAATGAAAAAAGAAAACTATTATTGCTCTGTGCTGGGACCATCAGCTGACCTCTACATAATAAGCTAGTAATGACTTCTTAAAACCTAAGAGAATATCTAAAAATATTTTCTCTTATGGAAAGCCTAAATACTAGAAATAGTTTCTTGTGAGAGTACAACTGCTTTGCAAGTCAACTTGAGCTCTCAAGATGTCTACGTACAATCATATGTGATGCAGTAAGAGCTCCATTCTGAAAATATTTTGTCTAGTTCATCATCTGAAACTCTGCAGGATTACTCAAAATATCATTTCTTGGGATTAATTCACTTCAAACATCTTCAAAGAGAAATTTCACTCACATAAACCTGTAGTATTTTTGCAAGTCAGTTGTGGCTAATATGACAAAAATTGCATTCAGAAGAATGAGAGATCTGCCTGCTAGAGGAAATGTATAAAAAAGTATTTGAAAATACTGTGTTTATTTCAATGTATGTGGGTGTTCCAAGTAAATTAACATTCACCTTCTAAAGAAATACTATCAAAAGTATAGGCCCAAAGTTTTCATAAATTCCAACTGTGGTAGGAGGAGAGACTTTATAGACAGCAAGTTTTGTGTTCCCCCTGCTGGTTTAGCAATTGACTTCCAAACACTGTTCCTGTGGTAGGCATCAAGATGCTGGAGTATGAAAATATGTTTTGCATGCCAGGAACAACAACTAAAAGTTACTTTTTAAAAGAACTCACATCCTTGGTGGATATCACTTAACACGCTTTGACTAGATGAGGCTCTGGACGCACAAAACATGGATCAAAATCAACAATGAAACAAGATCTCCCCAGGGACAAAAAGCATGTCAAGAGAAAAATCTGAAGTGTCACTTTAAACTTGAAAAGGTTGAACTGCAGCAAACAATTGGGGGAAGCAAGTTTCAGAGTAAAGGACTCTTCACTGAAGGAAGCCAATGACCTGCCCCCCCTCCAACACGCGTCCCTCCCTTCCTCCCCCAGCCCAGCACCAGCTGCACCAGGTCAGCATTCGAGGAGCAGCTCCTCCTCAGCTGGAACTCAAGCCCTGTAAGCTTTCATGGGTTAAATTGGAGCTCTTCAAATGAACAAGCATCTGCCATTAACATTTACTAACACTGTTGTTGGGAATACTTTGACAGGATACTTGTGCAGGGCTAATTAAAAACCCAGCTACCAACTCATACTTTGGCAGGCATTCATGGAAAAAAGCATGGACTGTAAGGAAAATAAAGTAATCTTCATAAGTAGCAATAAACAAATAGATTTTGTCTTGGGAAGACATTTCATTTACACATGTAAAGTCTTCCATATATGAGACTACAATAGTATCAGTCCTGTGGGTCACCATGAGACAAACCTAACTGATGCCACAGTTAGTGAGCAGGCAGCTCTCTCACTTCGGGTTTTCTCTCCATTGGGGGTCTGATATCACCCTGCTTAACCTCACCAAACAAAAAATACATAAACTTAGATCCGTATAAATACAGACCCAGCCAGAAAACCTTTTTGTTAGAACAAAATCATGGCACTTGTATGTCCAAGTGTCTCTTTAACAAGTTACAAACACTACCAGAAATACTCTGTAAAAAATGAACTGTGCAATGATCATACATTTGAGAAGAAAATAATAAATGACAGCAAATCAATTTTAACACCTACAGCTTAACAGAACTGAGATAAGTAGATTTAGATCTGGTTACATCCACAGCAAGTGGAAAAGGCATAACTACACATGCACACTACACCTGAAGAAGTCCTTTCTTGTGAAAGGGAGAAGTAGCACATCCTGTGCTGTTTGACACCCGTGACTTTGGAACTGCGAGTGCACTTGAAAGTGGGGAAAGCTCGTGTTTAAAAACTCACTTATTTTACATCTAACATTGAAGCCACATTCTTGTTATTACTAGGACAGCCGTACTCAGAAGCCTGCAGTGACCGGACTCCAGTGCATCCCTGCAAAATCTACAGCAGTAACTCCCACATGTCAACGCCTCACTGAAATAGCACTGAAGGGACATTATACTGGCCCTTGTATTATTGTCACTTACACTGAAGTCACACTCTGCTCGTGCACTGCCGAGTTCTCACCTGGGCTCAGGAAGGGTACGAGGACACACTCGCGCACAGCAGAGCGAGCCTCTCTGTAAAGCATTTCGCTCTCTGCCCGCAGCGCGCCCAGCACGTACCGGGCACAGCGACCGCCGCTGGGACACCTGTAGCTGCCCCTCGCCAGGTGCCCGCCTCCCGCTCTCCCCTCGCTTCCCACAGGGAGCCCGCAGCTCGCACGGTCCCGAGGGGCGAGCCGCTCCTCCCGGCACGCGTGCGGACACTGACCGCCCCCGGCAGCTCCCGCGCCCGGCGGAGGCCCCCGGACCCTTCCGCTCAGCCCTGTCACGGTGACAGCCCGAGGGGCGCACACCCCGCGCCCGCCCCAGCGGACGGCCCGAATCGGGGCGGGGGTCGCGGCCGCCGCACCTACCCGGCGGCAGGTCTGTCCACGCCGCGTCCCGCGGGGCAGGCGCGCAGCGGCGCAGCTACGCCATGGGCACCGCCGGCCGGGACGGGAACGCAGTCCTCGCCAAGGCCGCCCAGCGCCGGCCACCGCTGCCCGGCCCGCGGTGCGCGGAGGAGGCGGCGAGGAGGCGGAGGCGGAGGAGGCGCGTGTGCGCCCGCCCGGCCTCCGGCCCGGCAGTAACCCCGCGGCCCGCGGGGCGGGGCGGGCGGACGCGGGCGGTGCCGCCATTGGACGCGGGGCGGAGACGGCGCCGTGACGGCCGCGCCCCTCGCCCCTCGCGCCCGCGTGCCGGCAGCGCGCGCCGCGGCCCCGCCCGCCCCGTCCCGTCCCACACCTGAGCCCCCCCGCCCCCCGGGAGCCGTGAGGGGGTCCTGGGGTCGCGCACGGCCCGGCTGTGCTGGCGGCCAGCAGCTCGAAAACCCCCGCGCAGCCGGGGCTAGGGGCACAGTCCCCGCTCACGGCAGCCGGAGCCGCAACGGCCTTTAAGTTACCGGCCTCGAAACCGCGTGAGGCCGCCGGGCACCGCGTCCGTAACGGAGCCTGGGCTGCGCTCGGTACGGGCCCAATGTGAGCGGCGGTGTGACGGTGCCCTGTCCTGTGCACCGAGGTACGTCCCTGCAGCCCCCCGAGCGGGCCCAGCGCCCAGCGGCGGCTGGCGCAGAGCGAGGCCCCGGCCGCCCCCTCAGTGCTGCCTCCCCAGCCAAGGGCAGCCCAGAGCCCACATCTGAACCAGTTTTGGCCAACACCGCAGAGCTGACATCGTTTACAGCAGAGCAAACTATTCCAGTTCCCTCGAGGTTCATTATACTAGGAAATAACAGAAAGTGCTGTTCAGTGCAGAAGGCACGCTTAAGGTTGTCAAATCCCCCAACTTCAAGACTATCGAGTTGTGGAGCAAACTGGCGTTAAGGGAGCTACACCACAGATGAGGCCTTTCCACCCACAACTTCATCCTTCAGCCGGATGAACAGAGTTAGTTTCTGACACAGTCCTGCAACATCAGGTGTGTGCTGCTCTCAAACCTCTATGTCCTCTAAAGGTCATGGTAATGAGAGCAGTACTAGAACTTGGCAAACATCATTCTAGCAAAACTCCCATCACAAAATTGAGCCCTACTCCTATTATTATCCAAGTGAGCAATTGTTCTTCTGTAGGCATGGAGATAATGTGGAGATAGAGAGAAGTGGAGAGGAGTAGAGCTACTCCACTCCTGTATATCTCTACATTGTCTCAGCAAAATTTTACTAGTTTAATTGGCTTTCTTACTGAGGGGATTAGAGGTGACTTGATTCTTTCATAATTCTCTTTGACTTCAGGCCCTTTTCCCTGAGTCACAAATGCCAAGTTCTTACATCTACCCAAGAGGAGTGTTACAAGAGTTCAGACACAATTTAGCCGCTCTTGAAATGTCAGTTCACAACCTAGAATAATCCACTGCCATTTACCTTTGACCTCTTTGTGTTTGGACAGGCCTTACTCACAGTTCTGCTGCATGCACCACACATCAGTCAATGGCTGGGTCCCCCAAAGACCAGTCCTCAAAACAACATTACCTGTATATGAGAGGTCTAGCAAGGAAATCAAAGTAAATCAAATAACAAGCATTTAGTCTACATTAAATATTTTAGCAAACAGGCTTACAAAACCTGGAGAAAAACCTGCAGAAACAAGTAAAATACAAGTTCAGACTGCTTGTTGGCAGCCTAAGCTCACTTACAGAACTTTTTATTTATTTTTAGCGTTTGAAAAGTTGTGCATGTTGGAGCATGACATACCTCCTCTCTTATCACTCGCGTATGTAGGACACAAAACTTTTGCAAGAGGGATGTGGAGGTGGGGGAAGTCCCTTCAACAAAGAAGAACACTAATATTCTACAGCAATATATGTATTTCAAGGCATATTGTGTGTCTGCTATATTTCTGCTAGCTAAAATTCCAGACTGCTGATTAAAAATGGGATTGAAACTTAAGCAAACACGTTATTTTAATTTTAATTACTCATTTAGGTCCCAATCCTGCAAAAATTAAATAAACCAGATTAGGTTCACTCAAATAAGTAGCCATGAGAGCTGTTCAAGTATGTGACATCAAATATGTATGCACAAGCCTTTGTAAAATCAAATTGTTTCTATATAGGTCTAACCTTAGCCAAATTATTTTTACAATTTTCACTAATTTTGGTAAGAAATGGTTCTTGTCCATGGAACCAATTCTGTTAGGTAGTCAGCATCCTTGAGCAAAGCAAACACCACTTGTCCTGGTGTTTGAAAAAGTTCAAGACTAAGACACAAAACCACAGATTTTTAGTTATGAACTAATATGTAACTCAGTTGATGTACATGATATTCAAAGACTGAAGCCATGACAAATTGCCACATTAAAGTACAATTAGGCATGTGGGTTGGGTCACCCAGGAACATAATGATGTACAGTTGGCTTTGGCTTTTTTTTTATTTTTACATTTTGTGGCAGAATAAACAGAAACAACATAATTTCCTCTTAAAACCATGGAAAATTCCTGCAATCTTAACTACAGTGTTCAATCTTTGCAGCTGAGGAACACAATTATATACATAATTTACAATTTACTTACTTTTTAAATATTTGCTGATCTAGTGCTTATCTTCAGTCCTGGGCAGGATTATTTCACTTAGCAGGCATTGCTCCAATCCAGCAATGTAATGTATTATCCTCACTAAGATGCATGAAGGCTGTGACAGTTCACTTTTGCAGGAGGTTTAGAGGTTTTCATGGTGTGGTGCTACAGAATTAGGCCTAAGTAAATGTAAAATCTTTAAAAATATGCACTGTTAAAACTATTAACATCACCGTTTTCATTTTTTTTTTCCTCCTTTCCCAGAAAATACAGTAGGGATACTCCTGTGGGTAGCAACTACCCATTTACTACTCCCCAAAAGTTCCAGACTACTTTCAGTTACTCATTTCATGTTATGGTCATGAAGCCCTAACCTGCCCTGAGGAGCCAGGAGCAGCATCAATCTGTTAACATGGCATCCAAGCTGAACTAACTAATCCTTCCCAGGAGCAGGCTATTCATTTGGGTATCATTCTGTATTCATAGAATCACAGAACAGTTTGGTTGGAAAGGAAAATTAGGATTCACTTGCTCTCAAAACTTTAGCACTAAATCTGTCATTGCCTGGGAAATTTCCACAGTTTTAAGAAACACAGGACCTTCTCTGCCTTCTGGGCTGACCTTAGACTGGGGCCTTGGGACTCAACACGGAGCTGGGGACTGTGTGCTGTCACTGATGGGGCAGTGAATACTCTGCCTGCTAATTAACAGCTTCTTGTGATGGACCCACTGCCACGAGCCCAAGTGCACTTTCAATAGCTGCTGCTGGATTAGGCATCTGATGATCACTTATCTCTTTATAGCACTGTTTAAACCTGCTTCACCCACCAAAAGAAATGAAGGGTACAACAGCTCTACAAAATGTTTATTTCCAAACAGATTTGAAAATTCTAATTGAAAACAGAGACTTCTATAAACAAGCATCTTGGTATGAAAATGTTTTCTTTTCATAAAGTATTTTAAGATCTCAGAAATTATTTTTGGACATTAGTAAAGACTAATTCTCACAAAACTCTCTTACTTCATATAGTATCTAGAATCTTTTCAAGGCTAAAAGGTTGTCCCAATCAATAAAGCATTAGAAAAGAAAAAGACAGCTAGGAAGTAACACACTGTTAATGGATCATATTCTACATTAAGCCAATAACAATGGATCCAGAAAACGAGCCAGCAGCCATGTTCTGAACCACTAAGAACCACTAAAGAACCTCTGGTAGTTTTGAAAGTCCAGAAAATAGTAAGCATGCTAATTCACTAAATTCCAAAACCCAAATGGATGAATAGGCATCCTGAAGGGACATCTTGTACATAAGATAGGTTTAGAACTGGGATCAAGCACAGGGAGTATGTTCAGATCAGTACAGCCATTGCCCAGCACATCCATTCTGTCCCTCTCTGAGGTAAAATGTTGTTATTTAAAATTAGCTTTGTGTTTTAAGCTGATTTATTGTGCCACTGAAAGCAAGGAAAAGAAAGGTCTAGAAGCAATAAGCATAGGTTGCTGACTAGGTATGGGTTCTTATGCTGCATTGCATTAACTCCATTGTTTTAGTCATATGACCCTACCCAACCACTTTTAATATGAAGGGTCAGTTAATGTAATTAAGCCATTAAAAGCTTCTTAGGAAATAAGTCATTAATACAAACTAATGAGGTAAAATTCTACATTCTTTACTAAATGATCCTGCATTCCTTGAACACCTAAAACTTTTGCCAAAGGTAAGTAAATGTTAGTGTTGAACTGCTAGGCTTGTCTACACTTGAAAGTTACTTTGGATTAAGGCAGGGAGTGAATTTCAAGTGCAGCAGCAAATCCAAATCTGGAATAATTCCAAACATGGACAAGTCATGTATAGTACAAACCTGGAAGGTACCATGGGTTTTAAACTCAAACCAGAGGCTACATATCCAATTCAAATAACACATTCTTATAGATTTTAGATTTTAAAAAGAAAGGAAAAAGACCAAAACCCTCCAGCAAGACTAACCATCTCTTTTGTGCCTCCTCCCCTGCCTGCCTTACACAGGCTCCTCTATACCCAGCACTCTTCTTGACTCTGATATGCCCCTTACCCTCCTTCCAACATTTTTCTGATAAGATGTTTATAGGCCCTCAACCTACCAAATGCAAACACAAACGAGCAGAAGAGGGAGGAAAGAAAGAGATTATATGAGAGAAGGAAAAAATCAACAAAAGATCAAACACAGCAAATGTGAAACTAACATACCTTCACTGTTCAATCACGTTCTTCTGGCTGGATCCTATTCCTCATATTGCAGTTGTCTGTTTAGAGCTCAATCCAAAATATAATAGACAAAAGTCAGTAGATTACTTTAAACTGTTCAGTTTCAGACAATGCTCTTCAACAATATTTGATCATAACACACCTAGAACTTAGACACATAACAATTATTTAATAAGATATACTATCAGATGCAACATATTAAATAACTGATATTCACCCTCTAATACCTAAAAT